AATTTTAGAAACTTCATATCATTTCTAGAACATTTATATTAATAACGTTTACCCATAGACTATAACTTAAGAAGGTTTATCATTACTCATTTGACAATGTTTCCCATGTAATTTAACAGACCAAATAAGCCTGATTATTTTAATATCTTTCTTTGAGATGTTCAGGGGCCCTCTGTAGTACCCCAAAGTTAGCTAGAGGTCAAAAGAACTTCATTTAGAATTTGATGTGAGAAAGTTTGTCAAAGATATCAAAAGGTTTTAAATGTTTGGCCAAGTAGGATCATAAGTCACTGTGAAACAATATTAATTCACTTAACCAAAGTGACAGTAAACGATTATAAAGGCAAGTGCAGAAAGTTACTGGTAAAGAAACTTCACAATCTGTTATTAAAAGCAAATTAACATTTCAAAGAAAACTTAGAGAAAAAAATCAAATTCTAGTTTTACACGTTTTCACACTTAACATTAAAATTCACTTATTTAATCAAATTCAATCTAATCTAAGACAGTCTTTTTCTTCTTTTTTTTGGCTGCATTGATTCTTCATTGCTGCGCGCTGGCTTTCTCTAGTTGAGTCGAGTGGGGCTTACTCTTCGTTGCGGTGTACGGGCTTCTCATTGCGGTGGCTTCTCTTGTTGCAGAGCACGGGCTCTAGGCATGTGGGCTTCAGAAGTTGTGGCATGCGGGCTCAGTAGTTGTGGCGCATGGGCTTAGTTGCTCTGTGGCATATGGGATCTTCCCGGACCAAGGATCGAACCCATGTCCCCTGCATTGTCAGGCGGATTCTTAACCACTGCTCCACCAGGGAAGTTCCTCTAAGATACTCTTGACCATGCATAAAACTCTTTTCTCAAGGTTCCCATTTTAGAATAAATTTCTAGAAATATATGCCATTTCAAAGTATAATCTTTCAATAAAGCACAAAATATTTATTAATATTCTCATACAGATTTAGTTTCACTGTAGTAAGAAGTCAATAGGTAAACATAGACTCCTTTAGCAATTAATGTTTCAGCATTTTATCTTATTAAAAATGGTCTAGAGGAAAAAAAATGATCTAGACATTCAGTGAATTTCCATCATTTAACTTATCAGAGCTCTAAGGTTTCAAGTTGCCAGAAATCTGGAGAGACTGTTTTTAGGTAGGCATACCATAAAACATAATTGTTCTTAAATAGTTTAACCAAAACCTTTTATCCCATTTATTTCATTACCTATGAAAACATCATCAGATCATTAATTTTCTTGTTAACAAATTTTATAACCTAGATAAATGAACTTATTGAATTTCAGTAAACCTAGGTACAATAACAGTATCCTACTTAATGTTGATGACTCTAAAGACATGCCTATGTTAATTAAACCATGAGTTTAAGCTTGCTTTTTATTTCAGTAAAGATTAATCCTAGATCACGTGATCCTGTAAAAATTTGTGTTAGTTTAAGTTACATTTAGAAATATTTGATTTGTAAGCACTTGCTTTTAAGTCAATTAAATAGAGCTCTTTTACAAATTAATTTTGATAACACCATCCAGAGGTAGAGTTATATTGTTTTTATAACATACACCCAGACATACATACATCCATCCAGATGGACACAGACAGAGATCTCATAGTTTTCTTGCTTGAGTTTTAGAAAGCTCCCCTCTCCTTTTTTTTCCCCCTTTCAGTTTTAAGTTCTATTAGTTGAGCCAAGGCTGTAGTCTCAGGCGATATGGGCTATGTTGACATTTCAAGACATGATAAGAGTTATAACTTTAAGCTTTCTCCTAGGAATACTTCTGTTCTCTCAGGGTCAGAATTTTGCGAAGATGTTTTATCAAACTGGCTTTCTCTACAGTTTTGGAACGTCAGAAGGGTTCTATCCTGGCCATTTAAGAGTTAAGATTAAAGTGCTTGCAAGCATTGGCTTTGTTTCAATTGTACATGAAGCCAGCCGGGGTTCCAGGAATGGGTGCACATACGGGAGCTGTTCAGCCTTTGAGGCACCGTTTTCCATTATTCATTTGGTACCCTAACTCAGATATGATCCGAACAACTTTCTGAGGTCAGTGTGATGGATCGAATGTGTGCTACTTCTGAGTCTAGCTTCCCAAGGAGTTACCCTTGGGTCTGTTCGACTCTCTTATATGTCTGAGTCTCTCCCTCCAGCAGTCTAAAACTGCCATGGGTGCCCAGAGCACTAGGTGATCAGCCTTATAGTGTCCCCTGGGGAGCAGAATTTACTTAATGATTGTACTGGGATCCCCTGTAGGACCACTGCATGGCATGAGGATTGATTCTCAGACACTTCCGCTAGGTTCTCAGTCACCTGAGGACACATTATGGCCGGAAGGAGCGAAGTCCCTTTTCTTCAGAGCTCAGCAGGCTCAGTCTCTCATTTCACCAGCAACAGTTTGTTCAGACCATATATACCTAATCTTTCCAATTTAAGCCAAATTTTAGAAAAAGATGGCCAATCCAGTTCACTTCAAAGTTCCTCCTAGGTGTTTGCCTAGGAATTTCCCCTTAGGTCCCTGCCTAGGAAATAGGAAATATGCCAGTGTCCCCTTAGGACTCCAAGTCCCAAGAGAAACGGCTTGAATAAAATTCAGGACGTCATTTAAAGCAATGGTGTCTGGATATCAGGAGAACTCACCAAAGCACGTGAGGCATACTAAGAAGTGGATGGGGCTCAAAGGGCCCATGCTGGTACCAAGCACTGGTTTGGGGTAGACTCCAGGTGTCCTCTGGTGGTTGTCTCTGATATCCTGTTGGCTACCCCAAGAAAATGACGAGGAAAATTCAGTTAACTATCAAGTTAAGAAGAAAAATAAAGGGAACTTTATTTGAGCCAAACAGGATTGTAACCTAGGAAGCAGCTTCTCAGAAAGCTCTAAGAACTGTTCCACTTGTTAGGAGTCAATGGCACAGTCATATACATTTTGGAGACAAAGGATTGTACATCAAAATGACACACGGGTATTTTACATAAAGTTCATCAAGGATACATAGTCCAGGTAAGCATGAGCAAAGTGAGCAGCAAGTCGCCATGACCCCCTACAGAGCTGGGAAAGAGCACTGTTCTTCTAAGAAATCACATTGCTAGCATAAGAAGAAAGAAAAAAAAAGCATCTTTATGCTTCAGCAGGCACCCCCATCTTTGAGGAGGTCTGGTTAATGTATAATGCAGATGCATACTACACATTAGGGAGGGAAGGAAGAGGCCCAAACAAACACAGAGAGAATTTTGTGTTTCATTTTTCTTGTCCTGCCTTGAAATGTAAATTTTATTTCATCAGAGATGTGACTGGGATATTCAGGAGTTCAGAGGAGGGGCATGTTGAACTGGCTTCTTTAAGGAAGGTGAGGCCTGAAGTGAGCCTTAAGGAATGAGTAAAGTTAGTCAAGTGTGGGCTAGGACGTTCCAGGTAAGAGCAAAAGCCCAGAAGTCGTGGTGGTCAAGAAGTAGAGTCGAAGAAAGGAGAAAAGAGAGATGAGGCTGGAGGAGGAGGCTTTTGGGAAGATGAGTTCTATTTGCGTTACATGGAGTCTGAGGCACCCCAAAGTTCAGCAGGAAGCTGGGTGTGTGAGGCTGAAGTTTAGAGTTAGTCTGAAATGGAGATGGAGATTTAAGAGGGAGGAAGTGATAGCTGAAAGTGTGAGTTGACTCAGTTATTTAAGAAGCATATACAGAGGGCTTCCCTGGTGGCACAGTGGTTGAGAGTCCGCCTGCCGATGCAGGGGACGCGGGTTCGTGCCCCGGTCCGGGAGGATCCCACATGCCGCGGAGCGGCTGGGCCCGTGAGCCATGGCCGCTGAGCCTGCGCGTCCGGAGCCTGTGCTCCGCAACGGGAGAGGCCACGGCAGTGAGAGGCCCGCGTACCGCAAAAAAAAAAAAAAAAAGAAGCATATACAGAGTGAGGAGAGCAGACATTTGAGACTAGAATGCAAATCAAATCGACATTTAAGGCGTGGATAGAGAAAAATGAGCTCAGGAAGGAGAGAGAATAAAGAGACAGTATGAAATAAAATTCATATTTTATGGCAAGACAAGAAGAATTTAAACATAAAAAAATTTCTCTGCCCTTTGGCCTCCTCTCTCCCCTCTACTGTGCACTGTGTATCTGACCAAACCTCCCCTATTGGCAGGAATACCTGCTCAGCCATAAAGACAACATTCTCCCAGCACCAAGACAATTGCTTGAAGATGACATTCCTTCTTGATCTTGTAAGGGGTCACATGACCCGCCACTTTGTACTTGCATATCTGGATTGTGTAAACTGTAATACATCATTTGCTGTACGGCTCTCTGTCTCAGAAGAAACTTATATAACTGTGCCTTGATTTCTAACCAGCAGAACAGTTCTCAGAGCTTTCTGAGACGCTCTTCCTGGGTTACAAATCCTCAAATTTGGCTCAAATAAAATTTTCCAACTCTTTCTTAGATTGACTGATTAATGTTGTGTCAACAAGAGATAGGAGCATGGCATCATGGAAAGCCGAGGGGTAGAATTTAAACCAAGGCATGGCTTATGACATGATGGCCTTGCTGTTCTGACAAGGTCCGGGCTGAAAAGATGAACGCATTGGAGACATCAGCATGAAAAGGTTTGGTCAATAGTGAGGATGAAAAACATGGTGTTAAGAGGAATTAAGGAGAATATAAGTGGTCTGCTCCAGAGAAATCTGGATGAGAAGAAAAGAGAAGTTGGGTTATAGCTTGAGGGATATAGGAGGTCAAAGGATGATGACGATGATGAAATGCTCTGAGAAGAGACTTCAGTATGTTTTTAGTCTGAAGAAAATCTAGTAGGAAGGTTGAAAACATAGGGGAGAGACAAGATGACACATGGAGGAAACATAGGGGAGGAATATCTCATGCACTGAGGCTGGGGAGGTGGGGGGAGGGTGCTATCACATGATAGCCTCACATTTTTTTTTATGATGTGGGAGACAAGGTTCATAGATAGTTTGGTCTACCTGAACTAATATAATGCCCAAATCTCCCTATTGCAGGTTCCTTCTTCTTTTTGTCAACAAACAATTCACTCTCCCTTGGACCTGCTATCTGCGTCCTGCAGAAACATTACACTTACGCTATGGGAAGCGGCACCTCAACCCAACATCATTTTGCTTTCCAGAATGCAGAGAAAGGTATGCGCTTCCCACCTTCAGACTAACTGTGGGTACCCCGAAGCCTACATTGCATAGGGAGGGGCTTCTCAGGGTGGGCAGGAAATCATTACATTTCTCCTCGTGCTAACTCTTGAAAATCGGCTTCTCCTCCTTGTAACATGACCACTAGGATGCTCAGCTGAATGTCTTAGGACTTGATGAACTATATTTAATAGAATTAAAATTTACTCAAGGAGTCAGTGTTGTCCATTGGGGTTTATCCCAAGCTACACCTTTACAACTGAATGAAATAAGATTGGGCAAAAAGGGGATGAAAGAGCATTCTAGGTAGAGGGTACAAAGGTTGTGAAGTAGCAAGGAGAGAGACATATTCAAGGAACTGAGTGGTCTGAAGTGAACAAGATGGAGGGTGACATGGCATGAGGCTGCTGAGGTGTGCAGAGCCCATGTCACTCAGGAGCTTGTAGGATTTTAAACTTTACCCTAAAGACAAGAAGAACCACTGAAGAATTCAAAACAGGGAGTTCTAGAATAAGATTTACATACATAAAATACCCTTCTGGCTTCCATGAAGAAGGGATTGAGACAGGCTGGATGGTGGTGGTAAGAGTAGAAAGAAGAAAATTTATTTATTTATTTATTTATTTATTTATTATTTTTTAAAAATAAATTTATTTAATTTATTTTGGCTGCGTTGGATCTTCGTTGCTGCACGCGGGCTTTCTCTAGTTGTGGCGAGCGGGGGCTACTCTTCGTTGTGGTGCGCGGGCTTCTCATCGTGGTGGCTTCTCTTGTTGCGGAGCACGGGCTCTAGGCGCACAGGCTTCAGTAGTTGCAGCACGTGGGCTCAGGAGTTGTGGCGCACAGTCTTAGCTGCTCCATGGCATGTGGGATCTTCTCGGACCAGGGCTTGAACCTGTGTCCCCTACATTGGCAGGTGGATTCTTAACTACTGGGCCACCAGGGAAGCCCGGAAGAACAATTTAGAAGCTACTAAAGTCATCTAAGCAGGAGATGATAATGCCTTGGTCCAGAGTTGGTGGCAGTAGAGATGGAGAGAAGAGGGTGAATTCCAACAATATTCAGGAGGTGGAATTGATAGGATCCACCTGATTACATGTGTGGGGTTGGGGAAAAGGATGGATCAAGAATGACCTCCAGGTTTCTAGCTAGCAAACATGGGCAGACAATAATGCCAATTTCTGACATAAAGATAATGGAGAAGAACCAAGCTCGAGTAGAAGGAAGGTGCTGAGTTTATACACGCTGGGTTTGACATGCCCATGCAACATGCAGGTGGATGTGCTGAGTAGGTAGTTGCATATTCAGATCTGGATTTTGGAGACGTTGGTGGAGATACATGCATTTGGAAGGCATCAGAGTACGGGTGATTGTTGAAGCCATGGGGGTCACTGAAGTAGCCTAGAGTGACAGTAAAGTCAGGTCGGAGACCAGGGCCTAGGAGAGAGCCATGAGGGACTCCAGTACTTATTAAGTATCGGTCGAAGAGGATGAGCCAACGAAAGAGGCCGAGGAGAGGCAACCAGAGATGAAGGAAGAAGCAAGGGAAATAGTGACAGCACCTTGTTTATATAAGCCTAAGCAACTTTATAAGCTCATGGCTTCCTTTCTAGTTTGGCAATAGGTCCCAGGCTCATCTTGCGTATTTTTGGCTCCAGACCAGAAATAGCTATTTCTCCAGAGCTTGGGGTGTTCGCTACCAGGTTGGTCATTATTTTCTACACCTTTTCAGTGACCAGATCCAGAAAATATGTATTATTTTAATGACCAGTTTCTATTTAGGATCACAATATTTTTACTTAACTTTGATATGATATTATATCTATATCTCCTTTCTCTTTAAAAAACCTTTTTTCCCAAATGATACTGATGTGGTATTACTTACTTTGTCCTGTAGTATATAAAAAAGTTTCTGAAAAATAATAACAATACTATCATAACGATATGATTACTGAAAACTCTTTAAGATTTCTTTGTAGTTCTTTTTGTCCTTTGAGTACATCCACTAGGCATATACAACTTACTGAATTTTCAAGTCATTTGAAAGAACTCCTTTCTGTGTGATTATGCCACTAACTTGTACAAGATTAGATTTACTTGTTTGACTTTTGCTTTTTAGAGATTGATATTTTTTTAATTTTTGATTTAAATTTGCTTTATAATTTTATAAAACATTTATACAATTCCCATTCCAATTATCTGGTGCTGCGTAACAAACGACCCCAAAACTGAGTGGCTTAAGACAATCATTTTATTCTGCTCATGATTTTGTGGGTCAGGAATTTGCAAAGGGCCCAGCTAGATGGCTTGTCTATGATCCTCAGGGCAGCTGGGGCTGGAGGTTCTGCTTCCAGGACGGCTCTTCACCTTGGCCTCTGTCTCCCCACATGGTTGCCTTGTCCTTAGTGTGGAATTTTAACAGCCAGGTGTACTTGTAACTTTTGCCATAGGATTTAGTCTGCACAAGGCTGAGGAAGAGGAGCCCAAGCATGTAGTATTGCACTGATGGGAAGGGAGGATGGGGTAGAGGTCCTTAAACTATGCTACAACCTCACAGCACCCATCTCAGTGGAACCCAGGCCCTAGACAGAGGATTGGGAGGGAGAATAAAAGGGAGAAACAGAGGCACTGCCTGGTCTGCCTACCCTGAGCAGCCGAAGAGGTACTGAGGATAGTATGTCTATCCTCAGTTGGCAGCACTTGCCTTAAAATGCTTGAGGCAAGGTGTTAGCAAACAACATTTTCACGGAAACTTGATGGTCATGATATTCCTCAGTGATGCCTACCCTTCAGCACAAGTCAGGATCATTCATGGAGCTTGTGAAACCTACAGATTACTGGGTTCCCTGTAGAGATTCTGATGCTGTCGGTCTAGGGTGAGGTGCAGATGTCTGTGTTTCCCATGACTTGTTACTTTAGCTGAGTACCGCTTACTCTGGGCGTTTCATTCACTACTCTGAATGGGGATTTACAGAATTCAATCCTCATCACTTATTATTTCGTGGGTGCCTTTGGGACATACTTAGTGTATGACATTTTTTCCTCACAGAAAACCAAATTCAGCTTTGCTTAAATTTCTCTCAAGTTCTCTTTTCCCATTCACTATTGTATCTCATCTCCTCTTAGGGACATCAGTAGGAATTCCATTAGCTCTCTAATGCAAGCTAGATGTATTAAATCAACCTGTCTACTGTTCACAAGGTTGACCTGAGTGAACCTGCTGGGTTTCCTTTGCAATCCAGCTTTATCCACAAAGGCTCCATTCATCCCTGGTGGCACATTCAGGCCCAGGAGCTTAAGGAGAATCTAGTTACTCACGTGGACAGCTGTCGTCTTCTCTGGCAGCAGTACTTGACTGCAGGTTCTAGAGCTCATAGGAAGAATTCAACCTACTCATGCCATCCTGCAGTACACGATCACCCAGCACAGGTCCTGGCAAAAGGAGAAGCAAAGGCTGCCCTTCGGATTGGATAGTCAGCACAGTCCTGGGTGTATTGTGATGGGGACACAAAGCCACAGGGATAGAAGGAATTTGGGGATATCAAGCACTGACCACCACCTGCCATGATAGTATGTAGTAATTTTGTGTGTGTGTTTCTTCTCCCCAGTTATCATCTAGTTCATCTCTTTCTCCAGATGAGGACACTGAGGGCCAGAAAGTTGACTTGCCTGAGGCCACATCGCTGGTCAGGGCAGTTCCAGGCCCAGAACCAGACTCCTGACATCCTGTCTATTGTTGCAGTATCAAAATGTCCTCCCCACCCGCTGACCCCTGCATCATCCCATCCCATCCTTTATTTTTTTTTTTTTGCATTTGAATGTTTTTTTAACACAATTTTTGAAGATTACTTTCCATTTACAGTTATTATAAACTATTGCCTGTATTTCCCATGTTGTACACTATATCCCTGTAGCTTACTTTATACATAATAGTTTGTACCTCTTACTCCTCTTCCTCTATATTGCCCCTCCCCCCTTCCCTTTCCCCACTTGGTAAGCACTAGTTTGCTCTATCTGTGAGTCTGCTTCTTTTTTGTTATATTCACTAGTTTGTTGTATTGATATTTTTTAGGTTCCACATATAAGTGATATCATACAGTATCTGCCTTTCTCTGACTCACTTCACTGAGCATAATGCCCTCCAAGTCCATCCATGTTCCTGCGCATGGCAAAATTTCATTCTTTTTTTATGGCTGAGTAGTATCTGCACCATCCTACTCTTCAAGGATGCTGCAACCTTGCAACCTCCCCAGTTTACATCTCTTTCTCAGAATCCAACCTTTGCATCTCTACACATATAAATGTTTTCATCAAAAAGTGGGAATTCCAATAGTCCTCCAGTGATTTTAGTATAAGTAATAGGTAAGAATGGAGGAGGGATGGGGGCGGGAATGGGGAAAAAGCACCCCGGCCAGCAGTGAGGCAAATCCTTCCTACTGGTGGCAAAATATAGTGCTTTCCCTACCATCTTGTCCCCATGTGACAGTGGGAGAGGCACCCCCCCAACTCCCCCCGCAGGCCCAGGGAGTCCCACCTCACAGGCTTGCTTCTCCATCTGTGTCACAGCCTTCAAGGCAGCGGTCCTGATCCAGAGATGGTACCGGCGCTACATGGCCCGCCTGGAGATGAGGCGGCACTGCACCTGGAGCATCTTCCAGTCTATAGAGTATGCTGGGCAGCAAGACCAGGTCAAGGTGCGATGGGATGTGGGATGGGGCCACCTCCAGGTCTGCCTTCCAGGCCCCACACAGCTAGGCCCAGGTGCCTAGAAGGTGCAGCTGATCTGGACCACTCCTGGGTTTTCTTTCTATCTCTAAAGCCACGTCTTCTTGGGTTTTTCTGCAGCTCCACAATTTCTTCAGCTACCTTGTGGATCACTTCACCCCCAACAATCACAACGAGAGTGAGTATGAACGGCCACATGGCGGGTCCTCCTGTCTCAGGGTCAAAGACATCGGGGTGAGGTGTGGGATGCACAGGGAGGGGAAATGTGAATCTGGTGACAGCCAGGGAATGAGCGAGGAGGCTGACAAATAAATGGTTCTCCTAGAAGCACACCTGGAGACAAAAGTTTGGGTGCAAGGAGTTTATTTGGTAAATACAGGAAACACTGGGAGGTGGGGAGGGAGTGGGGAAGGGATTCAGGAAAGGGGAGGCAGGCAAAAAAGGGTGGGTTACTAAACCTGCAGTGTACCTGGGAAATAGTGCAAAACGCAGCCTGGGAAGTATCCCGTCTGAAGGCAGAGGGAACTGGAGTCTCAACGCCCGAGAGTCATCGGTAGAAGGCTGCTGGGAGGGGCGGACGGGAAGGGTTGTTCACGCAGGTCTGGCCTGCCATGCAGGGCTCTCTGCAGATCCAGGGACAAAGCCCTCAGGCAGAGATGCAGGGGCAGCATTTGGAAATGAATTGCCTGAAAGTCTGAGGCATCTGTCACACTCACTAAGTACACCAGAAATGCCCGTGAACTTTTTTTCCACCGCAGTTTTCACTTTCCTCCTGCTTACCAACCTAGGCCTGTAAATGTCTGTACTTTCTAAGGCAATCTTTTAAAATAAAAGTAGAATGGAGGGCTTCCCTGGTGGCGCAGTGGTTGAGAGTCCGCCTGCCGATGCAGGGGACGTGGGTTCGTGCCCCGGTCCGGGAAGATCCCACATGCCGCAGAGCGGCTGGGCCCGTGAGCCATGGCCGCTGAGCCTGCGCATCCGGAGCCTGTGCTCTGCAACGGGAGAGGCCGCAACAGTGAGAGGCCCGCGTACCGCAAAAAAAAAAAAAAAAAAGTGGAATGGAATTGACATAACAACGTCGTAACCTTTCTCCCGCCCATTCTAATTTGTCATCACTTTGCCCTTTACTTTCTCCTCTCCTGTGTTGGAGCCGAAGCCAGACTGGCCAGGACCCACTTCAAGTATGGTCCAGGGAATGAATTCTATATTGCCCGTGCCTGCAGGTCTGATCATAAGCCGGCCCACCCTTTCTGTCCTGACTAGGGGACTTCCTGAACCGCATGTTCACTGAAGAGAGATCCCCCCAGGACTCCGAGATGGAGAATTGCAGGGACTATGAATCCATCGAGGTACCAGACAGTTACACAGGGCCACGCCTCTCCTTCCCGCTCCTTCCCGACCATGCAACTGCTCTGGTGGAAGCTTTCAGAGTGAAACAAGTAAGCTCCCCCCGGGGGACCTGGATCACCACCAATTCCACGGAATGTGTAGAAGTAGAGCAGACACAGTGCAGAAGGAATGGCCCTGGATTTAGGGTGTTTGTGTCAGGGATCCGTCAGAGAGATCCGCTTGCCCTTTTCTTAGCCAGGACCTTGTGATTGATCAGCCAGTTTTTATGTATTGAAAATCCCTCCTCCCCATCATGTAATCTCTATGTTCATTCATCCCACAGATGATTGCTGAGTGCTGCTATGTGCAGCTACTCTTCTAGGCACTGAACAGTGAACAAGACAGACGCAAATCTCTGCCCTCATGGGGCTGAGATTTTTAGTGGGGAGACAGATAATAAAAAACAAATGAGTAATATTTATATATTAATATATTAGGTGACAGAGCTATGTCAAAGCATAAACTAAGTTCTAGGTGGGAGAGAGCAATTTTACAGGGTGGTCTGGGAAGGTGTCACTGAAAAGGTGATTTCTGAGCAAAGGTCAAAGGTGGGGAGAGAGGGTGCTATGTGGACGTCTGGGGAATGCGTTCTAGGCAGAGGGAACAAATGGAAAGGCCCTGAGGCAGGACCTTGCCTGGACTGCTCGGGGGACATCAGGAAGGCCATTGTGGCTGGAGAGGAGGGAACCAGGGAACAGCTATGAGAAGATGGAGACAGAGAGGTGAGTAGGGTGGACTTTCATTCTGAAAGAGAGGGGGAGACAATGAGCGCAGAAATGATATAATCCAGCTTTCCCTTTAATATAATCATTCTGTTTGCCGAATAGAGTACTGGGAGCAAGGGCTGAAGCAGGGAGGCCAGGCAAGAGGCTACTGCAACAGTCTAGGCGAAAGATGATAGTGGCTTGAAACCCGGGTGGTAGAGGTGGAACTGGTGAGAAGTGGTCAGATTCTGGCTCTTACGACAGATTCCAATCCTTCCCCTTTTTCATATGAAGATCGTTCATTGCAGGAAGAGCTGGGACGATTTTCCCAGTAATGTCAGGATCACCGATACCATCGATATACATGCACTTATTCATACTTTGCTGAGACAATCCTGTGTTTCTCCCAAGCTCAAGGCAAGCAGGGGTTACACAGAGTAGGTAGGAAAGAGGACATCAGTTCAGTATTTGGGGGATGATGCAAAGCACAAACAAGGGCACAGATGGGTGAGAAGGAAAGGATCTGTGCATAGGGAGGGTCCCAGGAGCAGTTTACTGGGGTCACTTTTGTGGTCTTGGGGTCATTAAGCAGTAAAGGTGAGGCCCATCTTGCCTCACAAGTATGTGTTGTTTTGTCCCATCCCTCCTCTTCCTCCTAGTAGAGGCTCCATGCTCGCTATGTCTTGAATCTTTTGTACGAAGCCAGGAAACATCTGGTACAACTACCAAACATCAACCGGGTCTCCACTTGTTACAGCGAGGAAATCACAGTATGTGGTAAGAGCCAGTCAGAAACGGCTTTTCACGAACCAGAAAACTCTGCCTGTGATCAAGGAGGGGCAGGAGGGCTGGAGGGGACCCGATGGCCACTCGGGCAGGCCGGGTTCACGCCTTCACACTGATTACACTTACATATTTACTCCACAGTTATTTAAGGAAGGGGTGGTGCCGTGAAGGAGAACTGTGGGGTGAGAGGGCCCAGCCTCTGCTTTGTTTTTTCCCAGAGATTCAGATTTGGCCCCAAATTCCTCCTCTCCATTCAGAACAAAATCCTAGCAAATACCCAGACCTTCCCTTGTTAGAAGACGGTTTACTTACTTACTGGACTCGAAAAGGCCTAAATGCCTAGTAAATTATTCCTTCCATTCACATTTATTCAGCTTCCAGAGAGAAATCCTATTGCTGACAATCTTCTCCATCTCCTTATGTTTTCAGTGATGTTTTAATAACCATTATAGACTGATGCCCCGCACTTGAACTTAGGGGAGACGGTGATACACCAGGGATTGTAAACGGGCAGCCTGCAGTATGTCTTGTCTGCCTCAGAATGTTCTTAAATTTCTAACATTAGCTTCCAACATTTGAAAATCGGAGGATTTCATATTAAAATCCAGATTTCCAACTTCTTAAAATCTTGTAACACTGACCCGTGAGTAGCAGCTTCTTGCTTTAGGTGGGGCAAAAATCTCTCTAGTTCTCATCCAGGTTTTCAACCCTGCAGTATTCTGTCCCATTTTTGCTTCAGTGAAAATGTAAGTCATTCACTGTTCATGGTAATCACACAGGAGAAATATCGTGCTTTCTGCTTTCAATATTAACTATCCCCGCAACTAGGGAAGTTAATATTTATCCCTATCTTATATATGGAAAAATGAGTAAGCATAAGTTTGTCAGGCGTTCCTGGGTATTTTCCTTTTATTTAAATTGAGATATAACTGACATAATACTGTATTAGTTGTAGGTATACACTGGGTGTTTTCCTTTTTATAATAAAAAATTAGAAACAATGGCGAAGACCAATCAAAACTGACGTTTTTCTGTCTTTGTTAGGAGATTTACACGGCCAGTTGGATGACTTAATCTTTATATTTTATAAGGTATGAACGCTCAAATTATGTTCCTGTCTTGCTCTGAGGTTTAATTTAGAAGTTCAAATACAGTCTCCATTAAAGAAATGCTTAAGTTATTACTTGGATTTTAAAATATTTTAGAAAAATACTAACTACTATGTAGCAAACGTGTAATGTAAAAGTCATCGCTGCATTATATTCTAGTGTATTTTTGTAAACTGTTTAAAAAATACAAAATCTAAGGTTAATAAAGAGAAGGAATCATTATTTGGAAAAAAGAAAATCAATTCCTAAATAGAGAAATTGTTTATTATCAAAGCAACCAAAAGCTATTTTCATATCTATTTTTAGTTATCAAATACAGAGCATATAACAAGCTATATAAATATTCTATTAATGTAATTAACACAAAGCAGTTTCTGATGTATTGTCTTGTTAAATCCTGAGAAATGCTTTGGATAACGCATTTATTTCGATGAGCATGTCATAACCTCAGCCTGGCTAGAAAGGAAATATGAGACTAATACAAAATATTTCCAATATCCCCATCTTTTACTGACATTTCATGTTTGGAAGAGAGCCAGACAGCACAGAATTGGCTTTCAGGCCTGATATGACTGTCAAATGCACACTGGCTTGACCCAATTTCCTATTCCCTTCCTTCCACTGCCTCTTCTCGGACTTCTCCCCTTATTGGGAAGAACGGCCTCCCGTCACCAGAGCGGGCCTATGTGTTCAACGGCGACTTTGTGGATCGAGGGAAGGATTCAGTAGAGATCCTGATGGTTCTTTTTGCCTTCATGTTGGTTTACCCAAAAGAGTTCCATCTCAACCGAGGAAACCATGAGGACCATATGGTGAACTTACGGTACAAAGAAAAACGTGACTGGGGATTTGATCCTTACTTGTTGTGATTGTAAAGTTATTTTGCCAGAGCTTCTTATTTGTTAGATGCCTTTTTAAAGTAGTTTTCCAATCTTATAAAGTGGAATACACAATATATAACATTTTAAAAGATTCTTTTTAAATTTATACAGTATCCTACTGTTCTGATAAAACCATTACATTTGTTTTCACATAGCCATACACTTTATCATATAAACAATAAGGGTTCACTATAGAAAACGTAGAAAACATAGATAAGCAAAAGAAAATGAAAATATCCCACATCTCTACCCACAGATAATGGTATGATTTTAAACATTTGGGCAATTACTTCTCAGTGTCTTTTCCATATATTTAAGTAGATGCCTCTAGAGTATGCATTTTTATTAAAAATGCAAGCATGCTATAACTAATATCACTAAATCTAAAATCTGTTTCTGCTTCTAACTCTAGATATGGTTTCACAAAGGAAGTGATGCATAAATATAAGGTACGCTGCCTTTAAAAGCAGAAGCTTCTCTTAGTTCAGATAAGTTGAGTAAATTATCTGAAACTTAATATCATATTAATGTATTTTTTTAGACACATGGCAAGAAAATACTAAAACTACTGCAAGATGTGTTCTGCTGGCTTCCGCTGGCCACGCTGGTTGATGAGAAAGTCCTGATTCTTCATGGTGGAGTGTCAGACATGACTGACTTGGAGTTCTTGGCTAAACTAGACAGGCACAAGGTACTGACTGAGTGCTAAAATAATGCAGATTTCACTATAATGCCAGGTGTCACTGCCAACATAAAACAAACGTCGTCTTGACTCCATGCTGGCTCCAGCTGACTAATAAAGCCATTAAATCTTTGAACGGAGGATTGGGGATCCACAGCTGGTGCAAACGTGCTGTGATCAATTAATGTTTGCCGTGGACATGACAGTAGGGCGTGGTAGCTAGTGCCATGTTTGCCATTCCTGATCTAGGTAATTCTAATCACTACCCCTCAATTACTCCACCTGATGTGCCTCCATTTCCTCAATACTTCAGATCATCTTCAGTTAAACTCAAAGGTAGATTGAGGGCCTGCTACATGCAGGGATGCCACTGGCAGATACAAAGATGAAGATCAGCTGCAGTTAAACTCAACGACCATGTTTTAATTGCTTACTCTATGCAAGGGAAGTGCTAGCAGAAATACAAAAATAACCAGAGATGGTACTTGCCTTAAAGGAACTTACAGTAACCAGCAGGGGGAGGGTGAGAATGAAAGACAGAGTACATTATACTGCAATATGAATAGGTCTCGATTTTCTGTTTCATTTTGGAAGTGGAAAACTAGAAAGCAAAGATTCTAGGGAGTTCCCTAGTGGTCTAGTGGTTAGGATTCGGTGCCTTCACTGCTATGGCCCGGGTTCAGTCCCTGGTCTGGGAACTGAGATCCCACAAGCTGCACGGTGTGGCCAAAAAAAAGCAAAGGTTCTGTTTCCTTTTAATCATAGACTCTTACACTTGAATGGTATCTTCCTGTAGCCTCTCTCCTCCACTGCCCACCCACACAGGAATCCCAGCTACGACATCCTTGACAACAGTAGCCTGAGCAGTTCCAAAGACAGAGAAGTCATTACGCACAAGCCAGTCTACTTTGGGCAACTCTAATCGGTATAAAAGTATTTTATGAGACATAAATGAAAGAGTGTTTCATTTATGAAACCTGGGTTTGAATCTGGGAACATGCACTTCTTGGCTGGTATGGCACCTTTGTTTACTAGATTGTCCAGGGACCAAGGATTCTTAGGTCTTGTTCCCTGCCATCCTTAGCGTGTCATCCCCGTGCCCTCATCTGCACAGCTTGCCACCACATGTGTGTTCCAGGCAATACAATAGAAGAATGAAGGGAAGAAGAATATCCTACCCTTTAAAGATGTAATGAAGACGTTGCATACATCTCTTCTGCTCTCATCCCATTGGTCAGAATGTAGTGTCAATACACCCCTGTGGGCAGGATGTGGGGGCTCCGTTGATCTCTGTGGGACCAGCTTAACTCGAGTGTGATGGATCCCTGGCTTAATCCCTTCAACTTCACCAGGGAATGGGTCACGAGTAGCACCTCATAAGGTCCAGTCCAGCAAGGATGGAGATGGCCTCCTGGATGTTTATTCTTCCAAGATTTCAGCAGGACCCAGTCTCCAGGACAAAAGTGGCACAGGTGAACATCTGCAGGAAACATTAACCTGCTAGAAGCAAACTTATATAGAGCACTTAGAGTAGCTGCCAGTGATTCTTACACACCTTTACATTATCTACGTTCCTTAATTTGAATTCCTTCTGGATCTCAAGCCATTTCTGGAACAATGGCAGGGTCTCTCATACAACACTTCATAGTTGGCGCAACTGGAGCCTGCTTGTAGGGTCTACCTTCACTCAAAGCAGGGCAACTGGTGAGGCTTTATCCCAGGTTAAATTAATCTGACAAAGTTTAGTTACATGATCCTCTTTTCCTCATCATTCCTCATCACAAAAGAGTATGATTCCGCTTTTCCGGTTTGCAAGTAGATTGGGGTCACCAAGAAGCATGTACTTTCCAACAAAGGTTTAAGACTCTAGATACTTTTTGAGTTATTCTTGCTATAAAGGCCCCTCCATTGTCACTCTGAATGAACACAGGTAACCCAAACCTAGGAATTATTTCTTTTAGGAGAGCTTTAACAACCTCAGGCTTTTTCAGACCAGCAAGGAAATGCTTCTACCCAACCAGTGAAAGTGTCCACAAATACTAATAAGCACCTAAGGTTTCCAGTGGCTCTTGGCATCACAGTGAAGATCTTCTCCCAGTCCAGTATCTGGAGTCCGAACTCCTTTGATTAATGGCAGTGGCCCAGTTTTAGGATTATTTTTAGCACATGCCATGCATTTCTGTATCACCTTTTGAATTGTCCTTTGCATGTTTGGTCCTGTAAGGAATTTCTAAATCCACTAGAGGGTGGCATCTCTCCCACAGTGGGTACTCTGGTGTGTATAACGTATTACATCTTCCATGAGGCATTCAGGTACAAGGATCTCGCTATGTCTGTTATAAACCCACCCTTCCTAGAGTCAGGATCCTGAGAATGGCCAGGACTCCAATCAGATCCCCATTCATTGGCCTTAAGTCTTCAGGAAAATACTTTGGATAGCATCTTGTCAGATCCACATCAGGGGATCAGGGCCAACATTGGGGATCTAGGGTGTTTTAGTCCTGGCTGCTAGCTTTGCTGCTTGATCTGCTAGATTATTCCCTTGAGCAGTCAGACAATCTGATTTCTGATGTCCTCGACAGTGGACCTTCATTCTTTTGGCTCCATGACAGCTTCTAATAAGGTTAAAATTTATTTGGTATAAAAGTCTATTTATACCAATTTCCTTCTTCCCTGCAGTTCACATCCTCTCTCTCTCCAAGTGGCCCCAGCACGGACCACCAAGAAAGTATATTTTAGAATCAGTGAAAATAGTTACTCTCTTATCTTTACCTGTATGGGGGGGCTCTCATCAGGGCTATAAGTTCCACCTTTTGTGAGGAGGTAGTGGGGGAAGGGCTTCTGCTTCCAGTGTCTTTGGGATGAGTTACCACTGCACACCCAGCTTTGCATTGTTCCTGGTCCATAGAGCTGCTTCCATCCGTGAACATCTCAAGGAGTGGGTCCTCCAGTGGTTGGTCCGTCAGGTCTAGATGGCTGGAATAGCCCTGTGCAATTATCTGAATAGGCTCTTCAATATTAATTGGGAACAAAGTGGCAGGATTCAGGGTGGAGACATTAGGATTATCCAATAATATAGCCTGATAATTTCCTCATCTTCCTGAAGTTAACCAATATCCTCCCTTCTGTTCTAGGAGAAGTGCACAGTGAAGGGTATGCACAGTGGTAGGTTGTTTTACTGTAAATTTCTCATAAAAGATCACAGGTAGCTGCTATAGCCCAAAGACAAACTGGCTATCCCTTAGTAACTGTAGCTAACTGCTTTGAGAAATATGCAACAGACCTCCTTATGCTGCCCAGTTTCCGAGTCAGTCAGGATTCCAAGGCTGATTCCTTGTCTCTCATGAACAAATAAGTCAGAGGGCTTTCTGATGTTATCTGGAAGACCTAAAGCCAGGGCCGTTAGCAGTTTTTCTTTGATAAACTGGAATGCCTTATGGCATTTCCCTAGTCCAGTCTTGAGATCCACTGTCTCCTCCTTTAAGAGCTTCCTAAAGGGGTTTTGCAATGAGTCCAAAGTTGGGGATCCAAATGAGGCGGAACCCAGCCATTCCTAGGAATCCCTGCAGTTGTCTCTCGGCAGTGGGAACGGCAACCCTGACTAGAGCTTCCTCTGTCAGGGGGCAAGTCTCTCTGCACTTGTGAGAGTTCAAAACCCAAATACTTGACAGAGGGCAGAAAATGTGTGCCTTTTTCTTGGACACATTATAGCCTCATTCAACCACAAATTCAAAGTCAAAACCGTATTCTGGTCTGAGGTGTCCTTTGTCTTACTAGCAATCAGAATATTATCCCCATACTGCATCAAGGCTCCCTCAGTTAGTTGAGGGTCCCTCAGATCTTTTGCCAGGATTTCTCCAAATACTGTGGGGGAATTTTTTTTTTTTTTTTTGGCCATGCTGCACGTCATGCAGGATCTCAGTTCCCCGACCAGGGATCAAACCCGCGCCCCCTGCAGTGGAAGCATGGAGTCTTAACCACTGGACCTCCAGGGAAGTCCCTTCTGGGGGAATTTTTAAATCCCTGAAGAAGTACTATCCAATGGTACTGTTAACTTTTGTATCTAGATCTTACTATTCAAAAGCTAACGACTCTTGGGATTCAAAACTCATGGGTATACAGAAAAAAAGGGACTCCTTCAACTCTAATGCAGTAAACCAACAAAAATCTCCGGACAAAGTAGTGAGCAGAATATATGGGTTAGGGACCACTGGATGAATATCTTCTACGATTTGATTAATTGCTCTTAAGTTGTGCACAAACCGATATTCATCTGTGCCTGGTTTCTGGACCAATAAAATTGGAGTATTACAAGGTGACGGCATGGGCGTATTAAATCATGTTCAAGGAGGGCCAGTAACAGGGGTTGCATTCCACACTTTGCCTGCTCCTTTAACAATTACTGCTTTAAGTTTGGAATTTTTGCCCCAGAGTGAAGTCTAACCTGTCTAGGCTTAGCCATCGTTGCTCTCCCTGGCCTCCCATCTGCCCATACCTCCAGACACACTTCCTGCAGTATCTCATCCAGAATCGTTGCTAGCTGTCCTCTTTAAGGTCAGAGCAATAAAGCCTGCAGTGCGCAAGCCTGTTCTGGTGATACTTTAATACCCATTCGTCCAGGTGCAAAGGTAACCTTGGCAGTAAATTTAGTTGGTAAATCTCATCCCAGAAGGAGAATGGGGTATTCAGGCATGTATAGAAAGCTATACTTCAGATGGGTTTTCCCCATCTGGCAGTCTAGCAGCAGGAGAAAAGACTTTTTCAAGATTTCTCCAGACACCCCAGTTACTAAAACACAATCTCAGAAGCAAGTTTAGAAAGCTGGGTATTTAAAAGCCAAGTGAGTGGCCCCAAATTGGTCAGAAAACCTGAAAGTTGATTTCCCACCCTCATCATCACTGGGGACTCTGTAGGAGAGATACTGATAGATTTTGACAGGATTTAAAGGAAACCCTGGGCCCCATCATTCTTGGTCACTCATTCTCAGTTCGGGCATCTGGTGTGCCACTTGTTGTTTACCTTCTCCAAGAGTCTTATTTAGGATGGGACACTCTTTTCCAGTGTCACTGGAGGGGTCCCACTATGGGGTGCTCCATTCGAGTGGAAGCTTGGGGCCGCCTAACTTGCGCTGAGTCCCTTGTGTGGGTCCTTGAATTGATCCAGCTCTTGCCTGTGTTAAGGCAGCCGCCAGCAGAATGGACTGTCGTTTCCGTCTCTGTTGTTCCCTTTTCTCCCGAACCTGGTCTCTGCCATTAAAAAAAGGCAATTTCAACAAGCTGAGACATAGGCATCCCTAAAGCCCCTTCCATCTTTTGCAGTTTCTTCTGTATATTGGGGGTGCTCTGGCCAATAAAAGTTGTTTTGGTGCCCCTCTTCGCTATGAAGAATGGAATCTCAGTAACGTTCCAGTTTTGGCCTATCCCCAGCATTCACATCCCAATTAGGATCCACTGTTGGTACAGCTACGCTTGCTGCAGCCCGTACCCGGTTGCCAGGGGTTTCGGTATGAAGCCAATATGCCTCCTCCCTAGCTTTATCCAGCACCATTCTAGATGTCCAGTTCTTCTGAAATGAGGAAGGTATTTAACACATCTTGAACATCTGCCCAGGTTGGGCTGTGAGTTGCAAAAATCGATGAAAAAAGATTTTCCATTCCCTTTGGGTCATCTCTCTAAAGTTGGCATACTCTTCTGATTAAATACATCTAAAGCTGAAAAGGGGGAGTGGACCCAGATCAGTCCCATTGGCTGCCCGGTCTCAGCATTCACACCCACAACCGGGACATACCTTAACAGATATTGCCCCACCTGAGCTTGGGTAGCTCCCTGGCCAAACAGTACCCTGATCAGTACGCAGTATGAGAGGGGAGGACCGTTCCTACTTCTGGATCTAACGGGGGCGGGGAGGTAGGGGTGGGGATGAACCTGAGTCTGTGACTCAGGCGCTGGCAATGAAAGAACAGCAGCACCATCATATAAGGGTGGGGGAGGAGCAGTCGAAGCGGCGTTCGACTGAATTAATAGCAAGTCATCTTCCTTTTCATTAGAATCAAGCAAAACAGGTTTCTTTGTCTTCCCTTCCTGTTGGACCATAATCTTACAATAACATATCAATATTCTGATACAATAACATAAAAGACCATACATAAATTATTTCACCTTATTTTTCTTCCCATTTACAAAATCTAGTTGCAAAACTGTAATTCAAGGATCCACTCAGACCGTTTTGCTCCAGGGTCTTAAGGATATTGTGGCCATGCAGTGTTACCAAAAAAAAACCCCATAAAAACAAAAAACCTTTTCCATGGATTTATAACTGAAAGTCTCCCAGTTTTGGAGAACGTTGCCTAGAGGGCTGCAAGGGGGAACTGAATTAATATTTCCCCTTTCGGAGAGGCTTTGCTTCCAGGTAGTCACAGCAGTGAAATTTTTCCAAGGGTCCTTGCCGCAGTCACCAAGAAGTTGAATCCCCAATTGCCAATCCTTAGCAACTTAAGACAATCAGCCATAGGTGGACGTGGACAAAACAAGACCAAAACAAAACCAAAAACCAGAGCCCCGGGCCTTTAACCCGGGTATGGTGGTCAGAATTGCCAAACAATCTAGGCACAGGTGCATTTCTTTAACAAGGTTACTCACCCAAAGACGTCTTCCAACCCCAAATCCCCAAAACTGTCTCCTTGCTGCAAAACTCAGCACTGAAGGTCAGCAGCACCTCACCAGGGAAACCCACAGGATGGTCCCTGGAAAAAACGGGCAAGGGAGCTGCTTGGACTCACCCACAGGCTCTCAATACTGCAAGGGGCCAACCAACCACAGCCAAAAGGTCCATCTGGACTTACCTCCTGGCTGGTTTGCCATATTTGTTAGCAAACTAGGTTCCTTTTGCCCTAGCATAGCAGCCAAAATGTTGAGACACTGAGGTTTACAGCAAAGAGAGGGTTTATTGACAAGGCAGCCAAGGGAGGAAAGGGAGAACAAATCTCAAATCTGCCTCCCTGAAGGCAAGGTGCTCAATGTATTTATAGGAGAAAGCAGCAGGGCATCTGAGGTGTGAGGAGTGTGGGGAAAGGTGATTAGAAAAAGGTGCAGTAATCATGGTTCTGGGCAGGTGTAACCAGGCTACACAGGCCTCTCCACCTTCAAAGGGGCACTAATAATACCCTAGTGCATGCCTAGTTGAAGGGTCAGTGGTCCCCTCCAGTCTTAATCAGCTCAGCTCGAACTAGACACAGCTGATTCCAAGTTCCCGGAAAACAACACAGGCAAGCGTCTTATTTAGGCTGTGTACTGCTTGGAGGACACTCAAGTCTTCTGTAGCAACAATTAAAACAACCTTGATTAGCGAAGGCAGGTTATAGGTGGAATGGATTTAACTAATGATTACCCACAGTTTCAGAAAATTGGAGAAGCAGGGGCTCTGGAGTCAGATATCTGGATTCAGTCCTGGTGCAGTCTTAGTATCTCTTGTGCCTCAATTTTCTCACCTGTACTATAAGTAAGGATGCTGTCTCATAGGGAGGTGAGGGCTAATCAATGACTTCATGCAAAACTATGAAGATGACATCTCATAGGGGTGTGAGGCCTAATCAATGAATTCCTATAAAGGGCCAAGGATAGCACCTATTTGGAAAAGGCTCAATACATATTAAAACTATTATTCCCCTTAAGAATAAAAGTTAGGGGTGCCTCTTTCTAAAATAAATTATTTATTTATTTTTGGCTGCGTTGGGTCTTCATCGCTATGCGGGAACTTTCTCTAGTTGCGGCGAGCGGGGGCTACTCTTCATTGTGGTGCACGGTCTTCTCATTGTCGTGACTTCTCGTTGCAGAGCACGGGCTCTAGGCGCGCAGGCTCAGTAGTTGTGGCTCGCGGGCTCTAGAGCGCAGGCTCAGTAGTTGTGGCGCACGGGCTTAGTTGCTCCGCGGCATGTGGGATCTTCCCGGGCGAGGGATTGAACCCGTGTCCCCCGCATTGGCAGGTGGATTCTTAACCACTGCGCCACCAGGGAAGCCCTAGGGATGCCTCTTGAAGCAGATAACATCCTTATAACGTTACCTGAGCATCGTAAGGGCGGGACTGATGGACTGGCCCTCGGCTGTGAGTTGGCAAGAAGACAGTTGAGGAGAGAAGGAGGTGGTTATGAGTCCACTCACATTTTGTGGACTTTCCCTCTCTACGCCCAGGGCTGGAACTGCCTAGGAAGTAATTAGCGCTTGTCCAACGTTAGAGAAGAACCTCTGTTCTGTTCTCTTCCATCTGGATCCCTCTTCAAACGTCAGTCAGTTACCGCCGAGCCACTCTGAGTGTCCGTCTTTGTTCCCGCCCACAGTCAGTCTACACCAGGACGTGGCTTTCTTGTACATCAGCCCTTAGACCTATTTGCAGAAAGTTCTTGCTCCTTGATTACACACTTGCACAGAATTCCTCTTGTGAATCAGACCTTTATCTTGATGTCCTTGTGGAACACTGTGGCCCTCAGTCTTCACGGTGGCACTCAGGCATCCCGGGAATGGCTGCTCTCTCCCTTTGGCTGGATGCCCCAGCTCTGCTCTGTGGCCTGAGCCCTCTCTTTCTCATGATCAGAATTCTTCCTGCTTGTATCCTCTACATTGTTGGCTTGGTCCCAGTACCATAATGACTCTGAGGCAGTGAGAGGGACCACACTCAGTCCCTTTGGCAAGAAGAGTATCTTCCCGATTAGGTCCAGGCTGAAAAGAGGTCCTTCCTTCCTCTCCCTTGTCCTTCCTCAGCAGACAAGATAGCACTTCCTGTAAACTCCCAGTAAGTGCTGTCCCTCCCACAGTAAGCATCAAGTTTTTCCCATTCCAACATTTCTCAGCCATAGGCTGCATTCCTTCTCCTTTGTTTTTGCGTCTGTGGAACAACAGGAAAGTCGATAAGGGCTGTCCTTCCTGAGAGGTGCCCTTTCCCATCCTTGTCTAAAAATCACTAGGTTCCTAGAAACAATGACCTAGGTTAGCATTTTCCAGTGATCTGTGGTGGAGGACCAGGTTTCATAAATGTCTAATTTGTCACAGATCGATACTTTTGTAAAATACAATAAATGTGAATGACTAGAAAACTGAAATACAAACAAAAAATATAAGCCCAGTGATCACGTGCTTGAATGACAGCCGTATCCAATTGCTATAAAAGCTTTTAAAGGGTTTACTCGTAGTTCTCTGCTGACCTTGTCACTGCCGGGACAATCCATGGAGCCCAATGTGGGGAGCACTGACTTGATGCCAAAGTGCTGCTCAAAAAGGCTTCCCTGGTGGCGCAGTGGTTGGGAGTCCGCCTGCCGATGCAGGGGACGCGGGTTCGTGCCCTGGTCCGGGAAGATCCCACATGCCGCGGAGCGGCTGGACCCGTGAGCCATGGCCGCTGAGCCTGTGCTCTGCAACGGGAGAGGCCACAACAGTGAGAGGCACCAACCGTTTCACTGAAGCATCTGTTATCTTCTCTGGACATTTTTAGATTGTTTCCACCATGAGATGCAAAACGAGAAAAGAGGATAAGAAACAGGCGGAGGAGAAGGGAAAAGCCAACCAGACGAGCTCTGCCGGGACACCCTCCCCGTGGTTCCTCCCCCAAAGCCACTCTCTCCCCACCTCGCCCCTCTGCCCCAGCACCCAGAAGGCCCACAGAGCCGGGCGCTCCTCCAGCGTCCCCTGCAGGGTCCCCCTGGACCCCAAGGAGCTCTCCCATTGGGTGCGGCACTCCGTGGACCTGGAGCTGGAGAGGTGTCGGCAGCAAGCGGGCTTCCCAGAGCTCAAGGAGAAGGAGGAACCCTTGCCCTTGGCATCCGAAGCGGACCCGGAAGCTGAGGGGCGGCGGGAGCCCACTCAGGAGGAGTGGAGCCAGGTGGGTGTGGCCGGCGCTGCTCTCCGCAGTTTGGCTGCCTTCGGGAAGGAGCAAGGATTTCAGAAAAACCGAACGAATCTCCTCCTTGCATGTAAATCCAGAGTGGGGTGTTTTTTCACCCCTCTTTCTCTCCCTCCCTGGGGTTAGAACACCCCGGAAGGCTATTGGTATTTGCCTAATGACTCATACTTTGGAGTTTTATAAAGGATGGGAAGATGTAGTAGGTGGGCTGTATCGTCTGAGTGAACTTGGTTTAGTGACCTAGCATCACTGGGCTGAGAAGGTCAGCCACAGTTTATGGGATGCTGTTTTATATATATCTGACATCTATCAGTTGGCTGCTGTGGCTCAAGGCCGGAAGGGCTACATCGGCTGCTTCTGTCTTCCGTTTTCAGGCAACTAAAGGCTTTTCCAAAATCTTCAGAACTGCATCCCATGGCCACCCCTAGCTGCAAGGGAGAGTGCGAAAGCAAGTATTTAGCCAGGCACATTGCCATGCCAAACACCCCAGGAAGAGTTCTGTCAGCTAGGAAGGAGGAGAACGGACATTAAGTAGTCGCGCACAGTGCTTGCCGAAATAGATGACTCTGGCAGCCGAAGGGGGGCTACTTCCCCAGGCCAAGACCTTGGCAGGGAGACCTGTAATCCAGGTGGGAGATTCTGCTGCTGGTGATCTTGTGTAGTAGTGCTAATAGGACTACCTGAACTCATTGGTGTTCAACCATTTTCGACCCACGAAAAATGGCAGCTTCTTATGCCTCATTCAATAAAGAAAAGGAGAGAATTCAGAATTGCTGATGGATTGGATGGAGGGTGGTGAGAAAGAGGAGGAATCGCAGGTGACTCTGAGGCTACAAACCTCCAAGAGAGAGATGGTGAGTCTGGGTTACATTCTCCCTGAGTTATCGATCTGGACCTCAACATCGACTTAGAACTGAAACTTTAAAATGCAAGTCTCTCCTTTTGCAAAATATGCCTTTTCTCTCTAGGTGGTGGATATACTGTGGAGTGACCCCATGGCTCAGGAGGGCTGCAAGGCCAACACCATTCGAGGAGGTGGCTGTTATTTTGGGCCTAACGTGACAGAACGGTTGCTACAGAAATACAATCTGCAATTCCTGATCCGCTCGCACGAGTGCAAACCCGAGGGCTATGAGTTCTGCCACAGCCGCAAGGTGGGCAGGCCTCTGCCATCGCGCAAGAGTGGTCCGGTCCATTTTGCCCTTCCAAGACACAGATAAGCTAAGGCTCCCAGCTCTTCATCATCAGCTGTGCCTCGCAGTTGTTATCCACTTGCTATCCACTTGCCCAAAGTAACTAGGTCCTTTACAGTCATTTATCCTTGACTTTTGTAGCCTCTCTAAAACCCCAAGTTTGATTGAGGCCACCACTTACCAATACCCTGAGAGGAAAGTGAGGGGCAGATATGGTCCCATTTCATGGATGGAAATATGGCCCAGTGTTTTCCCAGCCACATCTCTATTCTTTGTCACATTGCTTACTGTCACAGGTCTCAAACTACACTATAGGGTAACAGGATCTCTGCACTGAGCCCCAGGCAGGCATTCAGGATTGTTTGTCTCCTCAGGAGCATAATTAACATCCTGTCTAAATCTTTGGGCATCTCCAAATCCTACAATGTTTGCTTAGCCTAATGCCCAGAAATACCAACTCTACAGGAGAATTACAGGTTTCCACACTGAGGAAAACAGTTTGACATCAACTAATGTAAGAAATGTTTAACAGGAATGTTAAACAGTTGTATAAGTTTCTTTATTGCAGGACTTCTGAGAGCCTTTAATTTCCTCTATTCATTGTAAATCTCCAAGAAGAGATGACAGTGTCTAGCATTTCCCATTGTCTTGACAATGGAAATTTTTTTCACAGAACATCTCAGCAGGCCCAACACTCCAAAGGAAACTCTGCTGTGAGGCTTCGCACCACCTTGAATAACTGATCTGCCTGCTAGTTGTAATGGGCATCCCAGTTAATCAGACCTAGCTTGCCTCTGAGATGAACCAAATGAAGTGTTTTCTATGACCCCTGCTATTTTTGATTGGGATAAAAATGTGAAGAAAACATGTTGTGGACGTCCTATCAGAATTCAAGTTTTTATTACTTGAGTCATAACTCCTGCCCTACTAGCATTGATGATAAAAAAATAATAAAACAAAACAAAAAAAACATAGACGAGATCAAGAAGGAACAGCCACCCCTGAAATTGGGTTGGGCCCTGTAGGGTTGAGGGTGAAGAGCTCTTCAGTGAACCTGAATGCTCGTCTCTTTCCTGTTTTTTCATTTAGGTGTTAACCATCTTTTCTGCCTCCAACTACTACGAAGTTGGCAGTAACAGAGGAGCCTATGTCAAACTAGGGCCGGCCTTGACCCCACACATTGTGCAGTTTCAAGCTAACAAGGCAACCCACACGCTTACCATGAGGCAAAGGCAAGACTTTTCAATGAATGATTTTCAGAAAGACAGAATTATAGTGTTTGTGGAAACTTTGAAGTGCAAATGTCATTACATTTATCCAGATTCTAAGTCAGAGTTCAAAATTTAGCTGTGTCAGCAGTAGGACCTAGAATAGACATTACAACAGGGCCTCTTCTTTCTCCTCCATATACTCTAAAATCTCCACCTACCCATCATTAATGGAAGGGACAAATTTGCTTCCTGCAGAAGTTATTCTCCGTGGGTATGTCTTGGGTGAAATACATATACCAGGCCACTAAATCTTTCCAGGGTCACTCTTCCTTTTTCTTTCATCCTTAAAGCGTTTGTGTTACCTGGTCAACCACAGACAAAGGTTCTTTCACTATCTAGGGATTTAGCAGATAGATTTCAGTGTACACATTTGTTAACAATGCTCCTTTCTTCCTGGGAAGAGAGCATATAATATTACTTAAATGGTTTCTGTTGAGATGATTCTGAGTTCTAATCTTAGTTGAGAGCTTACTATACACTAAGTGTTATTGTAAAGAATTTATATATTGTTTCACAATGAGCTTATAAAATACACAGCATTACTAATTTCAGTTTTATAGATGAGATCATTAAGGAACAGAGGTTAAATCAGTGGCCATTGGCCACACAGCTAGTAAGTGGTGAAAGTAAGCCTTGACCCAGACAGCCGTATTTCAGAACCCACATACTTAACAACTCTACAGTGCTGTTGCCCACTGAGAAGCTGGCCCCGGAGTATATAAGCTGCTGAAAGATACAGTTGCAGTGCTGCTGAACAAGCTTCTTTAATTATCAGCCAAACTAAATTAGAAATCAAAACAAAGTCAGCATAGGGACTTCCCTGGTGGCACAGTGGTTAAGAATCTGCCTGCCAATGCAGGGGACATGGGTTCAATCCCTGGTCTGGGAAGATCCCACATGCCACGGAGCAACTAAGCCCGTGTGCCACAACTACTGAGCCCATGCACCACAACTGCTGAAGCCTGCGCGCCTAGAGCCCGTGCTCCGCAACAAGAGAAGCCACCGCAATGAGAAGCCTGCGCACTGCAACGAAGAGCGGCCCCCACTCGCTGCAACTAGAGAAAGTCCGTGCGCAGCAACAAAGACCCAACACAGCCAAAAATAAATACAATTTTTTAAAAGTGAAATAATGTAATTTTTTTTAAAGTCAGCATAAATCTAGTGGGAAAAGAATACAGGAATATTTAATATCTGCCTTGTATGAGTGCCAGAAAAGTGCATTATTTTAAATCACTCGAGTTATTAAATACTCAAGAGTTACTAAACACTCAAGTTTTACACAATCAGAGCCAGCATCATTCAAAAAGAAGTATTATGTGAAAATTTAAGCTCACCAAATGATAGTGAAACCTACTATGCTACAGAATCATCTCTGGAGCTTTATAAAAAATCATTTATTGGAGCCTCATCCCATCCCTCCCAAATTAGAATCTCCAGGGGTGAGCCCCAGGAACCTGGAATACCATGATTCCATGTGATTTAGATGTTCCCACCACAAAAGGAATCACTGTGGGGAAGCCTATAAATAACATGTTTTAATACCATAATTAAAGAACACTCACCTTTTAAAAATATTCACTGATTGCATTAAAGCAAGTACAACATCCCCGAATTTATGCAGAAGTCACTTGTCTAACAATTCCAACTATTTGGACCACAATAGAGAACTAAGAAGTAAAGAGGAAAATGTCTCTGACAACCATAATGGATGTCTCAGTGTCCATCAACTCAAGATCAAGTGTTTTTCCTAGAGGAACCCTCATTCAGAATCCATTTATTTTTGGTTTAAACCCATGTCTCATGATAGTAGTTTAGCCAGCCTGGAGTCCACTTGTCAACATTGATTTCTGGCCCTACCCCTTACTAGCTATGGGACCTCGGGCTAGTTACTTACACTGTAATAGGCATAATAGTTGTACCTACCTCAGTGGGTGTTGGAGGATTAGTCAGATGATCCATGCAGAGCTCAATATGCGTTGCTTGACGTAGGGACAGAGAGCCTTGTGCATCCAGGCAGCTCTCAAGGCCATTGCTATACTCCATCCCTGCATGGTAACCATCAACGAGCACAGTTTACCAGAAATAGTTGAAATGCTTTTCAAACCAGTGGTTCTTAAACTTTTAGGGGGTCCCATACTTCTTTTAGCCTCTGATAAGACAACAAACTCACCAGAAAAAGCACATACGCTCACATACCCATGAAATCTGAGATGAATTTTAGGCAGCCCATACTTTTCTGAGGGTTTATGGAGACCATTATGCTAAGTACCTTAAATTTCAAGGAAGACTTTCATCAAACGTGATTAAAATGGGATTTCTTGGTTTGTGTTTTGGCCTTTTTTTTACTTTTAGCACTTGAAAAGATAGGTTATCTGGTCATCATTTATAGAATGGCTGCTTCCTCAATGACATAGGACAAAGTACATATTTACCTTTTATCTCTTTTTATATTCTTGTTTATTCAACTACAGATATTTATTGAACACATTTTAGGCCAAGTACCATGCCCAGCATTACCCTGTTGACCCAGTAAGCATAAGAAAACTAACTTAGTGATACTTTGCAGATACCATTTGATGAGTGCTTTCTATGTGCCGGGCTTTCTTCTAAGTGCTTCACATGAATTTACTTATTTAATCTTCACAATAATCCTGTGAGTTAGGTACCATTTTTGTCACTATCTTGCAGATGGAGAAAATGAGGTACAGTATAATTAGATAACTTTACCACAAAGGTGGTGTTTCTCTAGAACTTCTGCTCTAACCACTGTCCTACACTGGGAAGGACAGCAGCGTTCCCCAGACAGAGCCTATCTGTGCACAGCAGGGCAAAGCAGGAGAGCATTGGGGAGAAAAAAGAGACGAGCTCTTTGAAGGTTGAGACATTAAGAAAGAGAGAGGAGAAACCTAGTAAAAATCCAAGACTATTTATTCTATACTAATGTTTTAAAATGTTCCTTTTCATCTCCTGTCCCAGGATTAGCAGAGTTGGGGAGTCGGCTCTGAGAGCCCTACGTGAAAAGTTATTTGCCCATTCCTCAGATCTTCTTGTTGAATTTAAGAAGCATGATAAAGATAAGACTGGTAAGACTAATCAAGTGAAATATTCATAGAGGAGGGCAGCTGGCCAAAAAACCCTCTGTTTCAGGTAATTAGCAAATAAATATTTGTTTAAATGACCAGAAGACCTTTTTGAAGACGTCCTCCCTTATTCAACTTAACATCCTAGTTATCGTTCCTAAATGCATAAATTCTAAGCTTTTAGAAGAACGTGAACTTAGCTAAATATAAACAAAGCTGGTGAAAAGAAATGGAGTCCAGGGAAGGGTGACAAGGCCAGAACTAAGCAAAAAGAAACAGGGGGACAGGTTACCAGCGTGGGTCCAAGACTAACAAAAGATCAATGATTCGGTTTCTCACTGTTCAGTGTGTGCTTGTCTGTTCCTCGTTCTATTATCCAAGCTGGAAATTTTGTCTTTTCTCAACCCAGTGGAATGTCTAATGGACACTGACTACAATGTAGCCCTATTAAAAAATAGCAGTAACAGTCATAAAATCATAGCACTATCTTTTCGTACACATAGAAATAACCAATGCTATGTATACATGTGTGTGTGTCTGGGTATATGTATTGTGTGTGTGTGTGTATATATATATATATATATATATATAGTGTTTTATGATATTATTTACAAGAGTCTTGTGTGACTTCCAGTAGTATTGCCAAATAGATTTGGCAAATAAAAACAGAATGCCTAATTACGTTTGAATTATAGACAACAAATCGTTTTTAAATATAAGTATGTCCCATGCAATATTTGGGACATACTTATAGTCTGTCTGAAAATCAGATCTACTGGGCATCCTGTATTTTATCTGGCAACCCTACTTTCCAGCCAACTCTACCATAACCAAGAAACACAGTGACAGTACTCATTACTTCTATTATCTACTGATAGTAAGAAGAATGTCAGGATAAAAGATTTGTAGGTGATGAGTCAACAAGTTAGCTCTTTCCTACAGGTCTAATCACCCTGAGTGACTGGGCAGCAGCCGTGGAGTCTGTGTTGCATCTAGGACTGCCATGGCGGATGCTGAGGCCACAGCTGGTGAGCAGCTTGACAGATAACAAGCTGGAGTACAAGTCCTGGCTGAAAAACTTGGCCAAAGAACAATTCAGCCATGAGGTAAGGGTGTGAAAATGGTGGATGAAGGCATACTGTGGACCGTGAAGCCCCTTATGGAGAACTTTGAATCATAAACAACCAAATATTGAGAACCCCAAAAGGAAGATGAATGGAAACAACTATTCGTTGAGTTTCTATGTGTCAGACTTTGTGTTAAGTGACCTACACATATTGCCCCAGTTTATCCTCAGAACCACCTCCAAGAGGTAGGTATAATCAGCACCAACATACCCGAGAGAACACTGGCCACAAGGGTTAGATAACCTGCCTAGGATAATAGAGTTTCTAAGCTATAGAACTAGAACTCAAACCCAGGTCTGACTGATTTCCTTGACATGATGCTGCTTCCCCTATTTAAAAAGGTATTTGTGGGCTTCCCTGGTGGCGCAGTGGTTGGGAGTCCGCCTGCCGATGCAGGGGACACGGGTTCGTGCCCCGGTCCGGGGAGATCCCACATGCCGCGGAGCGGCTGGGCCCGTGAGCCATGGCCACTGAGCCTGCGCATCTGGAGCCTGTGCTCCGTAGCGGGAGAGGCCACAGCAGTGAGAGGCCCGCGTACAAGAAAAACAAAAACAAAAAAATGGTGTTTGTTCGGTAAATGCTTATGTGTAATGGATGTGAGGCCTTGGGCTATGTACTTTTTAAAACAAACAGCTTTATTGCAATATAATTCATATATCATGCAGTTCACCCATTTAAAGTGTTCAGTGGTTTTTAATATATTTGCAGATATGTGCAACCATCACCATGGTCAATTTTAGAACAGTTTCATCATGGACTAGGTACTTCTTAAACCATCAGATTATTTAGTAGGCTGAAGGGGGCTGGAGTGGAGGGATCATAAAACATCTTCAGGTTCTTTCAAGAGTCTTATTGTCAGGGTTGCTTGTGTGTTAATTATCTATTAGGAGAAGCCTAAACATAAAAGATAGAAGGAAAATGAGTTTTTTCTTGCAGAATATACAATCAAGTTTGCTGGAAGCACTGTATCGGAACCGATCCAACCTGGAGACCATTTTTAGGATCATAGACAGTGATCATTCAGGTAAAGGCGCTCGTTATCCCGCCACTTCTGACACAGCAAGTATTTTACCTCCCACCTTTCAGTCTCCTCCCTGATTATTTACCTTTCTACTCAAGCGCTTTTGGAGCAAAATTAGTGGCAGTGCTTATAAATGGGCAGAAACTAGGATAGTATTTGAGCAACATGAGCTGTCCCTACAGAAGAGGGGTTGGGCAGAGAAGAATGAAGACAAACTGAATGAGAACTTCTTATAGGAAGAATTATAATAGTTATGATATCCCTTATCCCTTCTATCAAAGTAGCCACAAAGGAATGAAGAGTGTCTAGAACAGAAAGGCTTTTGCAATCTTACTCCCAAAGTATTATTTTTCAAAATTTTAAATTTTTAAATAATTATAGATTCACAAGGAGTTACAAAAAAATGTCCAGGGAGGTCCTGTATACCCTCACCTGTTTCCTCATTGTTCCAAAGGCCTTTTCAAATACTATTACTTTTTTTGAGATACAATTCACATACCATATAATTTACCCATTTATAACGTGCAGTTCCGTGCTCTTTTAGTATATTCACAAGCTTGTGTAACTATTATCGCTATCTAATTTTGGAACGTTTTCGTCACCCTAAAAAGAAACCTATACCGATTAGCAGTCACTCCCCATCCCCTGTTCCTTCTCCACCAGTCCCTGGCAACCATTAATCTGCTTTCTGTCTCTATGTATTTGCCTATTATGGACATTTCGTATAAATAGACGTGTATGATACATGGCCTTTGGTGTCTGGCTTCTTTCATTTAGCATGTTTTCAAGGTTCACCCACGTTGTAGCATGTATCAGTTTATTTCTTTTTATAGCTGGATAATATTCCATTGTATGGCTATCTCACATTTTGTTTATCCATTCATCAGTTGATAGACATTTGGATTTTTTCCACTTTTTGGCTGTTATGAATAATGTTGTTATGAACATTCATATACAACTTTGTGTGTGAACATATGTTTTCAGTTCTCTTGGATGTATGCCCAGGAGTGCAATTGCTGGACCATATGGTAAAACGATGTTTCACTTTTGGGGGAACTGTCAAACTGTTTTTTCACAGTGGCTATACCATTTTACACTCCTACTGACATTGTAAGAGGGTTCCAATTTCTCCACATTCTCACCAACGCTTGTTATCCTCCATTAAAAAAAATTTTTTTTACAGCCATCCTACTGGGTGTGAAATATCTCATTATGGTTTTGATTTGAATTTCCTTAATAACTAATAATATTGAGCATCTTTTCATGTGCTTATTGGAACTTTGTATATCTCCTTTGAAGAAATGTCTATTCAAATCCTTTGCCCATCTTTTAATTGGGTTTTCTTTTTATTGTTGAGTTGTAAGAGTTCTTTGTATATTCTGGATATTCGGCCATTATCAGATATATGATTTGCAAATATTTTCTCTGATTTTATGGGTTACCTCTTCACTTTTTTGGTAGTGTTTTCTGCTGCACAAAAGTTTGTAATTTAAAAAAAGTCCAATTTATTTTTTCTTTTATTGTGTTTTTGGTGTCATATCTAAGAAAAACTAGTAACTGAAGATCATAAGGACTTAACACCTATGTATTCATCCAAGAGTTTTACAGTTTTAGCTCTTACAGTTGGGTCTTTGATCCATTTTGAGTTAAGTTTTGTTTGCAGTGCAAGGTCGGGGTCTAGCTTCATTCTTTGCATGTGGATATCCAGTCGTCCCCTACCATCTGTTGAAAAAATTATCCTTCACCTGTTGAATGGTCTTGGAACCCTCGTGAATAGTCAACTGAGGGAATTCCCTGGCTGTCCAGTGGTTAGAACTCCATGCTTTCGCTGAGGAGGGCGTGGGTTTGCTCCCTGGCTAGGGAACTAAGATCCCACGAGCGACGTGGTGCAGCCCAAAAAAAGGAAAAAAAAAAAAAAAAAAAGTCAACTGACCATAGATGTATAGGGTCCAAAACCTTTTTACAAGCAGATTAAATTAGCATATGTTTAGGATGATTTAATGCAGGGTTTCTCAGCAGTGGCATTACTTACATCTTGGCTTGAGTAATTCTTTGTTTTGGTGCACGTCCTGTACACTTTAGGGTGTTTAGTAACATCCCTGGCCTTTACCTACTAGATGCAGTAACACCCTACCCCCACCCCAGTCATGACAATCAAAAATGTCTCAAAACGTTTCTAAATGTCCCTATAAGGAGAGGAACACTATTGCTTCCCTCTCAGAACCACTGATTAAGTGGTTCAGTGCTATCCTCTTGGGAGTTTAAAGTGGATACTAGGCCTTGGGTGCCTTTGTTTAACAGTAGGAAGCAGGTATCCTTGCAAGAATGTCAGAGGAAACGAGCACTGAAAACTAGACTGACTCGCTAAAGTGACTTGCTTTCTCTGGTAAGGGTTCATTTCACTGGACGAGTTCAGGCAGACTTGGAAGCTGTTCAGCTCTCATATGAACATTGATGTCACAGACGACTGCATCTGTGACCTTGCCCGGAGCATTGACTTCAACAAAGATGGCCACATTGACATCAACGAGTTCCTGGAGGCCTTCCGCCTTGTGGAGCAATCCTGCTCAAAGGGTTATGCGTCAGATTGCTGACAAGCCACAAACACTAATAACAGTGACTGCAGCAGCCCAGATAATACACTAAGGCCAGTCTGGTCCCCATCATCCAAGGTGCCTTGTAAGCAATGCTGAGCTCATTGTGGGAATATCTCCCTTATTCTCCATAGCTTTGTGGAACTTTATGCTGAGAATCTGCCTACCAGTATGCATCAGAATCACCTGTGTATTCAGGTGAATTCTACCAAACATACGAAGAACTTTTACCAATCCTTCTCAAACTCTTCCAAAAGATTCAAGAGGAGCTATGAACATGCTATGAAGCCACCATCATCCTGATACCAAAACCAGACAAAGATACCACCAAAAAAGAAAATTACAGGCTGATATCTTTGATGAATATAGATGCAAAAAATATCCAAAACAATGATCAAACTGAATCCAGCAATGCGTAAACAAGATCATACACCACGACCAAGTGGGAGTCATCCCAAGTTCACAAGTTTGGTTCAACATACGCAAATCAGTGTGATACACCACATCAACAAAAGAAAAGACAAAAACCACATAATCATCTCAATACATACAGAAGAAGCATCTGACAAAATTCAACATTCATTCATGATAAAAACTCTTACCAAAATGGGTATAGAAGGAACATATCTCAACATAATAAAAGCTATTTATGACAAACCCACAGCCAATATAATACTCAATGGTGAAAAGCTGAAAGACTTACCATGAATATCTGGAACGAGACAAGGATGCCCACCACTCTCAACACTTCTATTCAACATAGTATTGGAAGTCATAGCCAAAGCAATCAGAAAAGAAATAAAAGGTATCCAAATTGGAAGGGAAGAGGTAAAATTGTCATCATATGCAGATGACATGATACCATATATAGAAAACCCTAAAGACTCCACACAAAACCTACTGGAACTGATCAGTGAATTCAGCAAGATAGCAGGATACAAGAGTAACATATAGAAATTGGTTGCATTTCTTTACACCAGCAATGAAATATCAGAAAGGGAATGTAAAAACACAATATGTTTTAAAATCACACCAAATAAAAAATAAAATACTTAGGAATAAACCTGACCAAGGAGGTGAAAGACTGATATGCTGAGAACTATAAAACATTAATAAAGGAAATTAAAGATGATTCAAAGAAATGAAAGATATCTCATGCTCTTGGCCTGGAAGAATTAATATTGTTAAAATGGCCATACTACCCAAAGCAATCTACAGATTTAATGTGATCCCTATCAAATTACCCATGACATTTTTCACAGAACTAAAACAAATAATCCTAAAATTTATATGGAACCATAAAGACCCTGAATTGCCAAAGCAATCCTAAGGAAAAAGAACAAAAGATGAGGCTTCCCTGGTGGCGCAGTGGTTAAGAATCTGCCTGCCAATGCAGGGGACACAGGTTTGAGCCCTGGTCCAGGAATATCCCACACGCCATGGAGCAACTAAGTCCGTGAGCCACAACTACTGAGCCTGCATGCCACAACTACTGAAGCTCATGCTCCTAGAGCCTGTGCTGCACAACGAGAGAAGCCACTGCAATGAGAAGCCCGCGCACCGCAACAAAGAGTAGCCCCCACTTGCTGCAACAAGAGAAAAGCCCTCACGCAGCAATGAAGACCCAACACAGCCATAAATAAATAAATAAATAAAAATTTAAAAAGAAAAAAGGAGGAGGCATAACCCTCCCAGACTTCAAACAATACTACAAAGCTACAGTAATCAAAACAGTGTGGTATTGGCACAAAAACAGACATATGGATCAATGGGACAGAATAGAGACCCCAGTAATAAACCCACACACCTATGGTCAATCTTTGACAAAGGAAGCAAGGCTATAAAAAGAGAAAAAGACAGTTTCTTTAGCGAGTGGTTCTTGCTAAGGTGGTTCTTTAGCAAGTCTACAAATAACAAATGCTGGAGAGGGTGTGGAAAAAAGGGAACCCTCCTACACTCTTGGTGGGAATGTAAGTTGGTGCAGCCACTATGGAAAATAGTATGGATGTTCCTCACAAAACTAAAAATAGAATTACCATGTTATCCAGCAATCCCACTCCCTGGGCATATATCCAGACAAAACTATAATTCAAAAAGATACATGCACCGCTATGTTCATAGCAGCATTATTCATAATAGCCAAGACATGGAAACAACCTAAATGTCCATCGACAGATGAATGGATAAAGAAGATGTGGTACATATATACAATGGAATACTACTCAGCCATAAAGAAGAGGGAAATAATGCCATTTGCAGCAACATGGATGCAACTGGAGATTATCATACTAAGTGAAGTAAGTCAGAAAGAGAAAGACAAATACCATATGATATCACTTATATGTGGAATCTAAAATATGGCACAAATGAACCTATCTATGAAACAGAAACAGAATCACAGATATAGAGAACAGACTTGTGGTTGCCAAAAGGATGGGAGAGAAGGGGAGGGATGGACTGCGAGTTTGGGGTTAGTAGATGCAAACTATTACTTACAGAATTGATAAACAACAAGGTCCTATTGTATAGCACAGGGAACTATATTCAGTATCCTGGGATAAACCATAATGGAAAATAATATAAAAAAGAATGTATATATGTGTATAGCTGAGTTACTTTGCTCTACAGCACAAATGAACACAATATTATAAATCAAATATACTTCAATAAAAAAATAATAATCACCTGTGTATTTGGGGGTGGGGATGATGTTAGAGTGTTTCTGCATACTTTTAAATACATAGGTGCCCTATCCCATTTCAGAATTTTCACAAGGTAGGACCCAGGTATAAGTATTTTAAAATTCTGAAGTCTATCCCACTTAAGAGCCACTGATAATTCAACCCCTTCATTGTATACCTTTTATTTATTGTTTTTATAATGTCTTATTGGTAAAGGAAAGTTGTGAAAAATTGTTTGTGTAATCCCATGACCCAAACATATGGATTCTTTTCATTATTTACTTTTTCTTGTTAAAACTAAAATGTTTATATAATTTAATGTTCTGCTTTTGTTTTATAAATTGACATCTGTGTTGTTACATACTCTTCATGATTATTCCTTTAATGGCTGCATAATTTCAAATAGATGCAATATAATCTATTCAGCCATGCTCCAATTGTTAAACATGTGTATTGTTTCCAGTTTTTAATTATTATAAATACTACTACAGTTAATAACTTTGCGCACATAGCTTGTTTCATAAAAAGCTCTTGAATTATACATTTTCTTAGGCTAGCCTCCCAGGAATCAGATTACTTTGTCAAATGTTGGAGAGTCTATAAAAAGATTTACTGTAAGGCTCATATGATTATGGCAGCTGAGAAGTCCCAAGATCAGCAGTCAGCAAGCTGGAGACCCCGGAGAGTTGATGGTGTGGTTCCAGTCTGAGTCTGAAGGCAGGAGAAGACCGATATTCCAGCTTAAAGACTGCCAAGCAGAGAGAAAGAATTTTTTCTTACTCAGCATTTTTTTTTACTTTTATTTTTTTATACAGCAGGTTCTTATTAGTCATCAATTTTATACACATCAGTATATACATGTCAATACGTTTGTTCTCTACACCTGTGTCTCAACTTCTGCCCTGCAAATCGGTTCATCTGTACCATTTTTCTAGGTTCCACATACATGCGTTAATAGATATTTGTTTTTCTCTTTCTGACTTACTTCACTCTGTATGACAGTCTCTAGATCCACCCACGTCTCAAAAAATGACTCAATTTCGTTCCTTTTTATGGCTGAGTAATATTCCATTGTATATATGTACCACATCTTCTTTATCCATTCATCTGTCGATGAGCATTTAGGTTGCTTCCATGACCTGGCTATTGTAAATAGTGCTGCAATGAACATTGGGGTGCATGTGTCTTTTGGAATTATGGTTTTCTCTGGGTATATGCCCAGTAGTGGGATTTCTGAGTCATATGGTAATTCTATTTTTAGTTTTTTAAGGAACCTCCATACTGTTCTCCATAGTGGCTGTATCAATTTGCATTCCCACCAACAGTGCAAGAGGGTTCCCTTTTCTCCACACCCTCTCCAGCATTTGCTGTTTGTAGATTTTCTGATGATGCCCATTCTAACTGGTGTGAGGTGATACCTCATTGTAGTTTTGATTTGCATTTCTCTAATAATTAGTGATGTTAAGCAGCTTTTCATGTGCTTCTTGGCCACCTGTATATCTTCTTTGGAGAAATGTCTATTTAGGTCTTCTGCCCATTTTTTTTTTTTTAAACGAGGGCCAATTTTATTTTTATTTATTTATTTATGGCTGTGTCGAGTCTTCGTTTCTGTGCGAGGGCTTTCTCTAGTTGTGGCAAGTGGGGGCCACTCTTCATCGTGGTGCGTGGGCCTCTCACTATCACGGCCTCTCTTGTTGCAGAGCACAGGCTCAGTAATTGTGGCTCACGGGCCCAGGTGCTCTGTGGCATGTGGGATCTTCCCAGACCAGAGCTCGAACCCGTGTCCCCTGCATTGGCAGGCAGATTCTCAACCACTGCGCCACCAGGGAAGCCCCCTTGTGCCCACTTTTGGATTAGGTTGTTTGTTTTTTCAATATTGAGCTGCATGAGCTGTTTATATATTTTGGAGATTAATCCTTTGTTAATTCATTTGCAAATATTTTCCCTCATTCTGAAGGTTGTCTTTTCGTCTTGTTTATGGTTTCCTTTGCTATGCAAAAGCTTTGAAGCTTCATTAGGTCCTATTTGTTTATTTATGTTTTTATTTCCATTACTCTACGAGGTGGATCAAAAAAGATTTTGCTCTGATTTATGTCCAAAAGTGTTCTTCCTATGTTTTCCTCTAAGAGTTTTATAGTGTCCGGTCTTACAGTTAGGTCTCGAAACCATTTTGAGGTTTTTTTTGTGTATGGTGTTAGGGAGTGTTCTAATTTCATTCTTTTACATGTAGCTGTCCAGTTTTCCCAGCACCACTTATTGAAGAGACTGTCCTTTCTCCATTGTATATCCTTGCCACCTTTGTCATAGATTAGTTGACCATCGGTGAGTGTGTTTATCTCTGGGCTCTCTATCTTGTTCCATTGATCTATGTTACTGTTTTTGTACAAGTACAATATTGTCTTGATGACTGTAGCTTTCTAGTAAAGTCTGAAGTAAGGGAGTCTGATTCCTCCAGCTCTGTTTTTCTCCCTCAAGACTGCTTTGGCTATTCGGGGTCTTATATGTCTCCATACAAATTTTAAGATTTTTTGTTCTAGTTCTGTAAAAAGTGCCATTGGTAATATGATAGGGATTGCATTGAATCTGCAGATTGCTTTGGGTAGTACAGTCATTTTCACAATATTGATTCTTCCAATCCAAGAACATGGTATATCTCTCCATCTGTTGGTATCATCTTTAACTTCTTTCATCAGTGTC